TGCAGTGTCTGTTTATTAAATTATTATGTTTTATGTAACTTACCAATTTCAGCTTTGTATTTTATGTCCTTTTCCATTGCACTGGCCCCGAAATTCTTGTGGGCATACTGGTGCCATTTCGGTCGCTTTTTCTGTGTGTATGAGTCGTCCAATAGTTTGAATTTCGTTATTTGCAGTATATCCTCAAGGTATACGTCCTGGACGGGGTAAGCTAATCCCTCAATGTGCATAACCGGGCAGTTATTGTAATAATGTGACAAACTGTCAGCATCAAGAGTAGCACTCATCAGAATCAGCTTTAAGTCTTTTCTCCTCTTCAACACCTAAAGAAGTAAAAATATTAAACAAGCAGAAAAGAGTAAATGAATGAGAATTGAACAAGTAAATTAAACAAGGAGAAAAAAAAATTAAACGTCAAAAAAGTGGAAAACATTTCTTAATAAATGCAAAAAATTCTGTATTCAATTATTTTTTTATAGCCGTGATAGCTCAATGTCCGGGCGCTCGCCTTTAATTCAATATACTCGAGCAACTGAGTTCGACCCCCGGTGAAGATTTCAACTTTAAGTGTTGTCTTATCACGTGCTCCGCGGTGAAGGAAAACATCGTGAGGAAACCTGCATATTTTCGAAATAATAACAAAAAAAATATTTCGAAGATATGTGAAGTCCGCCAATCCGCAGTGGGGCCGCGTGATGGACTATGCCCTGATACCCTCTGTATAGAGGCCTTTGCCCAGCAGTGGGATATGTTTAGGCTATTACTTTACATTACTGTATTCAAATTATTTCATGTGGATAAATTTGTCTATAAATGTAATACATTTATGTATTTTGAAGCATGTAAATAGATACATGACACATACACAATGTGTGATATATTTTTTTACCTTATCTGGCAAATGCGGGACACTTCCCTAATGGTAAGACTTGAGTATTTGTTTTTTTTAATTCTTCAAAATAATCTTCATTTTTCACCGACTTCAAAAAGGAGGTTATTTTAGTTTTAGTTAGGAATTCGGATGTTTATATTTTTTTTATATATGTTCGGGCATAACTTCGTCATATGTAGACGGATTTGCAAAATTCTTTTTTTGTTCGTAAGGTTTTCATTAAGAAATGGTCCTATATAAATTTCATATAGATCTGATGATGATTTTCGCAGATTTTCGGAGATAGCAACGGAACTATATGACAAGAAATCAACCGCGATTTCCGCTATCGCATAAATATGCTTTTGCATGTAATGTTGTAATAGGTACGTTATGTTTATAATAAATTAAAATTAACACAAATATAATATTACTTTTAATTTTAAATTCTTTTCCATTACATTATGAAATATTTACATGAGTATTTTTCACTTGTCACATAATAAATTCAATAGAGATCGATAAGAATGAAAAATATATTAAAGGAACTATTTTCGCAGCTAGGTATGTTACAATTTGGGGCTTTACCTGTTTCAACATGCACATGGACATGTCCACATGACAATCTCTCTCGTGAACTTCATCTAAAATAACGTGGCTCCAATTTGTTAACCCCTGATTGACCTCCAATTCAACAAGAAGCACGCCAGTTGTGCAATACTGAATGCTTCCACGATTTCTCTCTTCCACTCTGAAATTTTTTATATGCTTCGATGGGCACTATGAAGTTCACATACCTAAATATTCAACAAGTCATATTAAGGTGTCAAATTTTACTGAAACTTTATTTTAAACACACAAGGATTTAATCGAAACTACAAACTAACTAATTAAAATCGATACTTCAAATAAAAAAATATTGATATGTGTGATTACAATTAACTCACTTCTCCAATCTTACAGAATAACCAACAGAGTTTCCCATTTTTTCACATCTTTCTTCTGCAACCCTTGCAGCGAGAGAAGATGCTGCAATGCGTCTTGGTTGCGTTACCATAATCTTAACGTTGGCACCTTTATTATTTTTTATGGCATCGTCTAATATAAGTTGAGGTATCTGCAAAATTTATGTGATTTTCAAAAATTTTGTACTTCTATGATGGACAGGCGTAATATGATCGTGGAACTAATGGTATCAAGACTAAAATACAACAAATTCGCTATTTCTAGAAAAAATGTACTTTGATGTAATATAATCAAAGGCTATGCTACTAATATTGACGCCTCTCTTTGAAGGATCAAATGAATCCTTAAAAATAATGTACACGGTATTTTCAATTTTGCCGAATCTGTAAAATTTATTTCAACTCGGGAATCTCCTTGCTTCTGCCTATAATGGTCAAACAACTAATTAGTGATATTGTTAATGTTTCAGGAATTGGCTACGGTTGATAGTGTTTTTTCACAAATGAACAATCAATCATCTCTGGGTCACACAAATACTTGTCCCGCCTAGGAATCGAACCCACAACCCCCGGCATCGAAGCATAGCTTAGCATTCCTGAGTCATTGTTATCTGGAATAAAAGTAATATTCAAAATTGACGTACCTGAGTTGATTTTCCACATCCAGTTTCACCACTAACAACAATAACTTGGTTGTTGTTTATAAGATTTAGCACATCTTCCGCTTTTTTATAAGCAGGCAATATTTCACGAAACTTTAGAAGCTTTTTATAGGGCTTCTTTGTGAGCATATCCATGTATTCTTTGTGAAAAGCACTGCTTAGATCATTTGTCAGCTGATCATTGAAATTAATACTTACACCTTTCGATAAACATTCGTCTAATTTTTCATCAAATGTTCCAGTAATTATGTCTTCATATCCATATTTGTACAATTGGGAATCTCGAAGTAATAACTGCCTTGCGTTATTATTGAATTGTATTTTATTTTCAACTGGCATAGGAACAAAGTCAGGAAGAGAAGAAGTGCTTGGTTGGTCAAAGGAAGACAAGATTTCGCGTTTTATTTGACCTGGTAATTTGAAATTGGAATCATTCCTCATGGAACAGCTTGCATCAAGGTCCTCTGTTTCATGGAATACTTCATTTTTAATTTTCAGACCAAATGAGGTAGTAGTAACTATCTGAGGTAGCTGAATGTTATTATCTTTTGCAATGTGTATGATTTGTTGCAAATTACTTTTCACTGAAGATATCACCGGCCTAGGAATTGTTAGTGTTATCTAAAAAAATATTATTAAATTATAAATGAATCCAATTACAATTTATAATGAACCTGTAATATAGAAAATGGTTATTTGTAACTAGTTTAACCCTTATAGTATAAAGTGCATTAGGCATATATCTATTTGTAGTATTTGTGTGATTATTTAAACAAGATAGTAATTGATGACATACTATGTACGGTAATAAATAGTTTTCAATCAAAATAAAATATATACTTGTAGTACTCAAGTCTTTTTGTATAAAACAGGTATTTGGAACTTAAGTATAAAACGCTTGCTAGCACGGGGAAAACTTGACAGGAAGTGAGTGATAAAAAGAACCCATAGTAATTTTTGGGTCCAAATCAGAACATGCAGTTGTCACGAAATGGGCTCAGGATAACACTTAGCAATATAAACCAAAAAAATCATCTTTTAAAGTTACCTTACTAAATGAAAGGAATTTCTGTTTAACATTATTATTACTATAAATGTTTACTACTCTTTTTTCAGAAAATTACAAAAATCAATATTATTTGAAAACAAACAAAAATAATTATTACTTATTTATTATTAGCCTTCCACCTAAACTTATAGCCTGATATCTGGGCGGTTAAATAAGGCACAACTAGCTTATGGTAGACTTGTGTTATGAGCAATTAACTGTACATTTAGGTTTTCCTTTTGAGAAGTAGAAGCCCGACCTCTTAAAATTTGACAACATACTGCAGATAAGTAATTAAATGTACTTAACAGACTTTCTGTCTGGCGGAAAAAGCATAATAAAAGGTATAATTAAATTCGCTTAGTTGCCTGTTACATGGCTTCAGTTTAAGACACTCAAATTCGCAATCACAACTTCGATAGACCATTTCGCAAAATGTAGTTATTTTTTTAAGATAAGTATTTTAAATTAACATTAAATAACGAAGACGATTATTTAGATTAAAATGGTAATATTATTTATTTTAATGTAAAATGTGTGTACTAACAGCCCTTTCTTTATTTTCTTTCTTTGCTCTGTTGAGATTTTTATAATATAATCCAATTTCCCGCCCCTTTAAACCAACAGGACGAGATCTTTGTTTCTTAGTGCGATTCCAATTTGAATCACGCATATTCCAATTGTTGCGGGACATGATTTTATAAAATTAAAATAATTTACATCAATCTGGGCAATATGATGAATATAGAAATACTGGATCACAATTTCACATCACATCACACGACCAATCGAATCCATCAATCATCAATGTCGAATCGAGTTGTCGTCTGTCGATGGCATTGACATTCATATTATAGAGTCAATAGAGCAATTGACAACCACTGCTGATAGTAGATTTCTTTACTCTATGGATTACAGGGGATATTTTTTTCGTGTATGTTTGTTTCGCAGTTAGTCCGGTGGTTTTGATTAAGCATGAGATATACCTGCAACATTCTATACCCGGCCTCAAAGGTACGGGTATCGCCGTATACCCGGTGCTAAAACCTAGTATCAAAATACCTATAGGTATTAGTTATGTTCAGGCCTCCTTTTGGAGACGAGGTCGAATCAAACGAATTGAACCTTTGGTTGGAATTGGAACATTTAAATGTTTTTTTAGCAATCAGTTTTTTTTAATTGAGATTTAATCAGTATAAAATAAGCTCCATCTTTACTAAAGAACCCTATAATCAAAAAACAAAGAATAAATTTATCTCAAGGAATTATTTGGTATAAAATGCCTAAATCATACGTTTCAATTTGGGCATGATCGGGAAGAGCCGCCGTAAGCGTTCGGGGAACTTCGTACCTATTCGGCCGGCGGGTTTTCGCGAGCGTATATACCGCCACCGTCGGACGAGGCGGCCATCAATACCTATCAGGTATGGAATGGGCCTCTGCCGTACATACCCGGTGTGCGGGCGGGTTTTCGCGAGCGTATATATCGCCACCGTCGGACGAGGAGGCCATACCTATCGGGTATTGCCGTGTGGTGGTAAGAATAAGCCACCCCATCTCATCCCGTGGGTGACGTAAGAGGCGACTAAGGGACAAGCCACAAACATCTGGTGGCCACCGATAGATGGCGGGATAACCATCTCGACTCTCCAGACCCTAAATAACCAGGCCAATAACGGGCAGCAGCGTTATAGGTGCGAGGAGTCTGGAGGAACTGCGGTTGCCAACCCGCAACTATGGCACAACCCCACCCTCATGATAGAAGTCCAAAATGTACGGCCCCCAGTCCCCGGCGGCCCTGCTATTCCTGGCTACGGTAGCGGTCATGGTAACGGCAGGGCAGGGGGTGCTAAGAATCCCCGGCTAGGATTCGGCTACCAACGACGGCGACTGGACCTGGCAACATACAACGCAAGAACATTGAGGACTGACGAGAAGATTACAGAGCTGGAAGAAAAGGTGAACAGGCTGCGCTGGGATATAATAGGATTATCTGAAGTCCGAAGACAGGGGGAGGACACGATAATCCTCGAATCCGGCAACCTGTTTTACCACCGGGAGGGCGACCAAACTGTCCCAAGGAGGTGTCGGATTTATCGTCCACAAGTCTCTCATTAACAACGTTGTTAAAATCGAGGGTGTGTCGTCGAGGGTTGCGTACCTTATACTCAGAATATCCAAACGGTATTCGCTGAAGGTCATACAGGTTTACGCACCAACGTCGACACATCCCGATGATGAGGTGGAGGCAATGTATGAGGATATATCACGAGCCATACATTCCTCCAAAACTCAGTACATGGTGTTAATGGGAGACTTCAACGCAAAACTAGGCAAAAGGAAAGACGATGAGCTGAGAGTAGGCAGTTTTGGAATAGGGCAACGGAACCCAAGGGGGCAGCAGCTGGCTGACTTTATGTAGAAGGAGGGACTCTTTATGATGAACTCCTTCTTCAAAAAGCAGCCCCACAGAAAGTGGACCTGGACTAGCCCCGATGGTTCTGTAAAAAACGAGATAGACCTCATTATGACGAACAAACGGCAAATATTCAATGATGTCTCTGTGATCATAAGGGTGAAGACCGGCAGTGATCACCGATTGGTGAGAGGCACATTGAATATTAACATCAGGCTGGAAAGATCTCGTCTAATGAAGTCCACACTCCGACCATCTCGTGCCCATATCCAGAACTCCGAAAGCTTTCAGCTCGAGCTACATAATCGCTTCCAATGCCTAGAAAATTGCAGCACGGTGGACGATATTAACGCTAAGCTCGTGGAAAACTGTCCATGCCGTGGGCCTTAAATTTTATAAGGCCCGTCGGACAAATAGAACACAAAAACTCTCCGATCACACTCTTAACCTCTTGGGAAAAAGACGTGAGATGCGGCTGCAGTCTTTAACTGACATGTCAGACTACAGGCGGCTTAATAGGCAGATCTCCAAATGCATGCGGCGAGACTTACGCAACTTCAATACAGCTCGTTTTGAGGGAGCTATAGAGCGGAACCTAGGCTCAAAAGTCTTCGCCAGAGATCTGGCTATCGGACAAAGCCAACTGACTAAGTTGAAGACTGACAGCGGAGCTATCATCTCCAGTAGACCAGAGGTTTTGAGTGAGATTGAGAGGTTCTATGGACAGCTGTACACATCGTCGTTGGAGCCACACACATGTGTGAGTAACGACCCAAGAGCAAAGCTTATCCGACACTATTCCGAGAATATCCCGGACGTCAGTCTGAGCGCGATTAGAATGGCTCTTGACCATCTTAAGAATGGCAAGGCATCGGGAGAGGTTGGAATTACAGCAGAGCTTCTGAAAGCGGGTGGAGAACCGGTACTTGTGGTCCTTCAGAGGCTCTTTAATTCCGTCCTTCAGGGTGGTGCTACACCAGAGGCGTGGAGCAGAAGTGTGGTGGTGCTGTTCTTCAAGAAAGGCGATAACGCTCTCTTGAAGAACTATAGACCGATATCCCTTCGGAGCCGCGTCTATGTGCTGTTCTTAAGAGTCATCTTGAATCGTCTCGCTTCCAGACTCGACGACTTCCAGCCTCCCGAACAAGCCGGATTCCGAAAAGGCTTCAGTACCATAGACCACATACATACCTTGCGGCAGATTATACAGAAGACCGAAGATTATAATCTGCCTTTGTGCCTAGCGTATGTGGACTATGAGAAAGCCTTCGATTCTGTCGAAATTTGGGCGGTACTCCAGGCTCTTCAGCGGTGCCAAATTGACTGTCGGTATATCGAAGTGCTGCAGTGTTTGTATAACAAGGCTACGATGTCCGTCCAAGTACATTCCAGTAGTACAAAACCTATCCAACTGCAGAAGCGTGTAAGACAGGGTGATGTCATATCCCCGAAACTCTTCACCGCTGCGTTGAAAGATGTTTTCAAGCTTCTGGACTGGAAAGGACGAGGTATTAACATCAATGGCGAATACATCACCCACCTTCGATTTGCCGACGATATAGTCATCACGGCAGAATCGCTGGAGGACCTGGGTGCTATGCTCAATGACCTCAACAGTGTCTCCCAACGGGTGGGCCTTAAGATGAACATGGACAAGACGAAGGCAAATATTCTCGTCGAATATACCTCAATGTTTGAAGACTAAAGTCTTCAATCAATGTGTGTTGCCAGTGATGACCTACGGAACCGAGACGTGGTCCTTCACTGCTGGCCGTATGAGGAAGCTCAAGTCACTCAGCGAGCTATGGAGCGGGCTATGCTCGGTATTTCTCTGCGTGATAGAGTTCGTAACGAAGACATCCGCAGTAGAACTAAGATAACCGACATAGCTCAGAGGATTAGCAAGCTGAAGTGGCGATGGGCCGGCCATATAGCTCGTAGAACCGATAACCGTTGGGGAAGAAAGGTTCTCGAGTGCCAGCCTCGTACTGGCCATCGCAGTGTAGGACGACCCCCCCACTAGATGGAGTGACGACCTGTGCAAATGTGCGGGAAGTCGATGGATGCAGGTGGCTCAGGATCGTGCTTCATGGCAGTCTGTGGGGGAGGCCTATGTTCAGCAGTGGACTCAAACAGGCTGAAATGATGATGATGATGATGATGGAACGAGCCTCTGCCGTACATACCCGGTGTGCGTACGGGTATGTTCATACTGGGTATTTATACCTGTGCCAGTATATACGCCTCATCCCTAGTTTTGATAGTTTTGTAAAAAGAGCTCCTCTGGTAGTAACACGCACAGTCTCAGGAGTAAAACGTAGCTGGTGCATGGCGATGACACGATGATGCCGCGATCCCTGCTAGCAAAAAATAGATAATTCGACAATCCAAGGGCACGGTAGATGGAGGCTTAAAAATATCATCTTGGACCACCATCGATATTGGAACCTATCCAGCAGAAGGTTGAAATTGCGAAAAATTAAATCTCGAAAAGAAAATATGAACAACGAGAATTAAAAAGTTTCGTAATTAAGTACGCGATGATCAATTGGACGTATCGTATTATTTTTAGGTAAGTGTAGTTTCGTGTTAGTTTAACGGCTTGACAGCTTTGACGCAAAAGGTCTATGGGAAGTGGACCAGTGTACTCAAGAGAAACAACGTAGCTAGTGTACGATGCGACAGCGGCGAGATGACGCCGTCCTCTCTGTTGCGTCTCTGCGACACCTGTTACCAAAAATGGACCATTCGGGTAACAACGGGTTTCATGACACGATCAGGGTATTATCACCTACCGCCGATTGGTATGGCTCTGTGTGAGTGAGCGGATTAGGGTTGACTTGAAATTGAAATCGACGATACAAAAAGTAGTCTCGTATGATTTTCACGAGTCAGTCTGGATCGCCTAGCAATTGTAGCTTCAACAACTTCGCGTTGTCTAAAATAAATTATCCCGCGACTGTCATTCTTGGAAATATTGGAATTCTGCTGAGTTGACCTTAGACCAGTGTCTAAGTAATAAGTAATAAAAGATAGAAAAGCATACGGATTACGGATGGAGTGCGTCTGCTAGGGATGGCTTATACTTGTTAAATTGCGTATCAGGTCTTAAAAGTACGTCCATTTTCTCATACCAGGTACAGAAACCAGGTATCAAAATACTTTCAAAGTATTTTCTGTCCTACGCAATGGGTCGAATATTTGTTTCCTTGCAACTTTAAACCTTGTTACCATATACAAATAAGATTCAAAATATTTTAATCAAGACGTAAAATACTTTTAAAGTATTTTATTTCACGTATAAGCACAATCTGAACCTTAAGTGTATGAACATAAGGTATCTAATCAAGTGAGAGAGACACACCAGGCGTGACCGATATTCATTGCTTTGCCATCGCACGACGCACGCCCCGAGCCCAACCAAATAGCACTGAACGAAGAGGGAGACGAGTTGTGAGAAAAATACATTCAAATTTCGATTCATTCGACGTTCGACTTCGATATGCGTAGTAATACTCACTTTGAAGGACTAGTATACTTTAATAGAAAAATACTTTCAAATAAATTCAGAAATACCTGGTATCAATACCTGGTAACGTAAATACGCATCATCTCTAGCGTCAGCCGTCAGCGTCAGACAGAAGCAGGGTAGGATTTTGTACTCTATTTATAGTATAATTTGTACTATAATTTCATGCTTCAATTTAATTACTTTACCTAAATGACCAATATTTATATATACCGTTCACTGCCAATCCAACATTAAAAGAAGTTCTTTGGGGTGTAATCGCGTTGTAATCCTTTAACTTTTTTCAATACTTTGGACCTTTTGACAATAATTGGACTTTTTTAAATACTCCGCTTTCTCAAACAGTCACTTGGCACTCAATGAAGTAATTATTAGTACGATTAATTTATTATTTTTATGATACTATCGTTCCATTCTTATTGAAAATTCAAAGCGATAACAATTTTACTGCGAGTTTTTGAGTAAAATAATTTATTTTTTGTGCATTAACTATGAAAATACTATATATCTTTTGTCAAATAATATCCTTTTAAATTTTTTGTACTATCTTTTTAACCGCAACTAAATCCAACCCAGGACTGAAGTGGCATTGACATTTTGTTATTGTTTTACATGTTAATGAATAATGGTGCTTATAAGAATGACTCGTATTTGTTATTTATATTTCATAGTGTATTTAATTTAACAATATAGTATTTTTAGCTATGTGGAGATGAAAAAAAACAAATTATAATTAAATGTTTACTGCTCTTATACAGTGTTATATGAATTGATATTGTTTAGGCTAGAGAATTTTCAATATATAAAGGCTTAAATTACAAATATAGTATGGTAAACAATAAACATTTATAAAATAAGTTATATCAATCTCATTTTTGATGAAATATTGAAACACGAATCTCATAATTTCAGGAATTCAGGCCTTTTATGTGCAGAGGTCGGAAGAAGAAAATTGCCATTCTTCTGGTTATCTTAGCTTTTCTTATTAATGCGATGATATTCGTGAGCATTGAACTGTTAAATACGATTAAAATGCGCCATAAAAATCTATGGTATAATAGGTGCAGTATTCTTAATAATTATTATTATCATTGTTGTGTGACTATAAAAATTCAATTATTTGGAATTAAAATTAGGGCTTAATATTAATTGATGTCTACTTTTTTCAATATTTTAATATATTCTTAATTTTATTTAAGATTACACTATGATCAAGACTCCTATGTTGATAAAAGTGGTATGAGAGTTATTGTTGGGCATTATGTTGGTGGTAATTCTGGAGGCAATTTATCTGAAGGTAAGCTATTTTAAAAAATAAGTACAGTTTTTGTTATAATTTACTATTTTACACAGTCATAACTGCTCCTGTTTTATGGAGTTAAAAGCTGTAATTCCAGTGCCTCCATTATTCAGGAATATACATATAAGGTAGTTAAAAGTTTACTCTTTAATTTTTAGAAATTATAAATGCAAATAATTACTCACCTGTGGAAGGGGCTGGTGATGGTGGTAGACCTGTTCAATTATCACCTAGAGAGATAATTACAGCAAGAGAGCTTTATGCTTTACATTCCTATAATATATTGGTTGGTGATAGAATTTCTATAAACAGAAGTCTTCCGGATATGCGCAGTGATAGGTAATCTCACCTTTATTTTTAAAATATCTGAAGTTATATATATATATATACCAAATAATTGTATGAATATAATTTTATTGAATGGTTGATAAGTATTTTAAGGCACTGCCTTTCCCATGACTTAAAAATCTGCTATGATTCGGTTGATTTTTTTTTTCAGCTGTAAAAATGTGCAATATGATATGGGGAACCTACCTACAGCCAGTGTTATTATAGTATTCCATAATGAAGCATGGTCTACTTTAATGAGAACTGTAATGTCTGTGATCTTGAGATCCCCCCCTGTTTTATTGAAACAGGTATGAGTTACATTTATTCACCGTCCCAATCATAGATTATATATTTTTTTATGTTCCTATTCAGGTATATTATTTATTTATATATTTTGACTTCCTACAATTCCAGATAATTCTTGTAGATGATGCAAGCGAAAGAAAATATTTGGGTAAAGAGTTAGATGATGCAGTGTTTGATTATGAGAAAGTACACATATTGAGAAGTGTAGAGCGGAAAGGTCTTGTTGGTGCTAGACTAATGGGTGCAAGAACTGCAACCGGAGATGTGTTAGTGTTTTTAGATGCTCATTGTGAGGTACTTTTTTAAAATGTATTACTTTTCTAGCCTTTGCTGTAGTGTATTCAAAAGTGCTAAAAATTATTATGAAATATTGTGCAGGGAAGCCATTTGTAAATTTATATTTTGTCCTTCATTCATGTTAATTGATATTGTAGGTAATGATATTTAATTCAATCTATTTAATGAGAGTTATCACAAAAGTATTTAATTATTCTATCGGTGAAAAAAATAAATGACTCAGGTTTTTCATCACATAACTTGTTAATAATTCATACCATGTTCATAAGTAGTATGTATAATTATATAAAACTAGCTGACTCGGCAAACATTGTTTTGCGATATAAATTATTTCTAGAGGAATTGGAACGCACGCATATAGTGTAAGACAGGGTACACAGAGATAGTTGACAGGTTGACAGGTACAGTTTGTATGGGAAAATAAAATTGTTGCTATTTCGATTTTCCATAATTTCTCATTATTTATTTATATTTTAAAACCAAAATTAGCCAAATCGATCCAGCCATTCTTGAGTTTTAGCAAGACTAATGAACAGCAATCCTTTTTTATATATAAGATTAATATGCTCCTATTACAAAAAATATTTTAATTGTGTTAAACTATATTATGGGTGAACTCCAAATTTTTTTATTGTGCCATAGGTCAAACAGTGTCTTTTATTTATATATGTAATGAACAAGTTTATAAATTCGATGAACAAAATAAATTTCAGGTGACGCGAGGCTGGCTTGAACCGTTACTGGATAGGGCAGGCAGCGACGATGTCTTCATCTGTCCACACATCGACCTGCTCTCCGAGGATACACTGGCGTACACGAAGAGCATCGACGCCCATTGGGGCGCGTTCAGCTGGCGGCTCCATTTCCGCTGGCTGATGCCGAGTGCCGAAGTGATGGTGCACAAAGCGGAGAACCCCGCCAAGCCGTACCCGACGCCGGCGATGGCGGGCGGTCTGTTCGCGGTGCGTAAAAGCCTCTTCTGGCGGTTGGGGGGCTACGACGCTGGCATGCTCATTTGGGGCGCCGAAAACCTGGAGCTCTCGTGGCGCGCGTGGCAGTGCGGCGCCAGGGTCGAGATAACCCCTTGCTCGCGAGTGGGGCACATCTTCAGGCGGCACAGCCCGTACAAATACCCGGGCGGCGTCTCCAACGTGCTGAACTCTAACCTCGCGCGAGCGGCGTCAGTGTGGATGGACGAGTGGGCGGACTTCTTCTTCAAGTTCAACCCGGCCGTCGGCGCGATGCGAGACCAGCAGAAAGTTGGCGATCGCGTGGCGCTCCGCGAAAAGCTCCAGTGCAAGAGCTTCGAGTGGTACCTGACCAACGTGTGGCCGCAGCACTTCTTCCCTGCCGAGGGCCGGTGGTTCGGCAGGGTTCGAAACGGGAAAGGCGGCTGCATAGGTGTCGTGTCGGGGACCCCCGGCTTGGGGGGTCCCGCGTCGAAAGTGCGCTGCGGCAGCGACCTCGACCTCGACAGCCTCGTAGTGTACACGCCGCAGGGGAAGATCATGGCCGATGAAGGGCTGTGCTTGGAGCAGGGGAACGGCAGGGCCGTGTGGAAGAGCTGTAGCGACAGCAGAAAGCAGATCTGGAAGCAAGAGGGCGCTCGGCTGAAGACGGCCGACGGCCTTTGTCTGACCTTCGTGTTCAACGGTAGCACCGATCCAAGTGATATTCCGTTAACGTCGAAACGGTGTATGAAGACGGACGAACAAATTTGGCACTTCGAACGGGTGCCGTGGCGGTAGCACCTTTGAAATTTAGATCTGATGTGTTATATAATATGCGATCTAATGGGTAACATACTAAGACTAAGTATTCGATTACTATATTTTTATTTGAAAATAGATTTAATACATACTTATCACTCAATCAAGGTATATAACTAAGGTATAATCGTAGTAATACTTCATATTCGTCAGACTTGTGGGCACCGGAAAAATACGACGTGAATATATATAATATGTGACCATAAGAGATTTCTAAAACTAATCTTAAAAATCTGATAATGTTAGCAAAAAGTCAATTATATGTTCATGCTTTTTTATGTTCTTAATACAAATTAACAAGGATATAGAGTTCACTAGTGTAGGCTAAATACTAGTCTACATCAGCGACCGTCATCTTTGTTGTTAAATTGTATTTAAAACATAAATAAGTGTGGACACGTAATTCGCGTGGTATTTTTCAGGAAAGACCATGTATCATCAGTTGCTGCATAGCTAAAAGAGCTTAACTGTGATGGCAGAAATGAAAAGACTTGTGTTTTGGAGTGTATAACAGCGAATTTCATAATGGCTTTGGTTTAATAATCATTGTCCTAATATAACAACTTTTAGACAAGTCAAGACTGATATTATAAATGTACAAATTTTTAAAGTTGTGAACGTCTTATAAACTTGGCTGCAACTCAGTGGTGCGCTATTTATCTTTGCAATACTTTAAAAACATTTAATATACAGTGTAAACTCGTTATGTCGAACTTCAAGGGACCGAGCACTTTTTTTTTAGTTATAGGGAGGGGAAAAAAAAATTAACCAAATTTAACCATTTACAATAATTTCTAATTTTATTATTATTTCAATAGATAAATTATTCTGAACATATATTCTATTAACTTTCTCTGACATGTTTGACTCAAAAGATTAGTTTTGTTAGTTGATTATAAAAACTACAACACTGTCAAATATGTTGTTGATGTATAAATATGAAAATATTGCTTCGTTATAAACAGTGAATTAATAAATGGTTTTTATGGCAAACCAACCAAATTGAACTAATTACTACATTGTAGAAAGTTTTTCGTTATTAAGAGCGACGTTATAAAGAGGTTACACTTTAATTGAGTCTCGTTACAACTTTATTTGTTGGACACTGATTTATAATACAAGAAGAATGAGTAAGGCATTCTTAAGGCTCATCTACAGAAAGGCAATTATGTTATCATTAAATGTTATCAGATGTATAAATTAATAAATATCTGTGATTATTTTGCCGTGCTAAATATTTATTTATACTCTGAATTGTGTACAATTATTAATAAACATGTTATTGTTAGGTGATCATAACAAACATTTAAGATGAAATCATAAAAGACAATATCTACCTTATAACAGTTTAACAAATATATATTTATGGTTGGTTGTAACAGCTTTAAAATGTGATTTTAATTTTAGGTTGTGGTGTAATTCAATGATACTGAACAATAATTAATTATTACTTATTATATAAGATAAGCTATTCATGAAAATACTTGTTACAACATTGTTCTTTTTAGTTATATACTAGAGTAAGAAATTGTACTAGTTCGGGTCCCATCTGGCCTACATTATATCGTCCATTTACTGTGTGTTTAATACTCAACATATCAATTTTATATACTAAAACGAATGATCTTACATTTATTAACTAGGTATTATCCTTTTTTGTTTTACATACCCTTCTAGTCTAAACAATATACACTATATTTTTTTCAAACCGGTAAACATTACATAAATGAGTTTTGATACTTGATAGTTACTAATTATTAAGTACTTTAACACGAGAGAAGAAAACACGACAGAGATTGAGACACGTGAATTCCAGTATAAGCTTATGTTTGTAACAATAAAAACCATGGAGCTCGTGATGTGCGTTTTATTAAAAATCGTACAGTATAAGTTCAAATAAAAACTATAGTTTGTTGATATTTTATTTATTAATAAATCGTAAAGTACAAAAGTCTTATTTTTTAATACGTGCCGGTGGTTTACCTAAGCACGTGTAACAGTATCGGAACTGACAAGGTCGCCGCGAGCATCGATCCAGTCTTCACGGCTGAGTTGCAGTCGTTCCTGTTGCAGATGAAGCAGCGGGCGTCGCTGTGGCCCCTGGCCCGTTCCACTGCCTCCAGGCCGAGGCACACCGAGTCCACTTGGGCGCGCGGCACGCACCCCCTGATGACGTCCACCGTGTTCCCAACTGTAAAAACGGTGGAGTCGATGGACAGGGCTTTGGCGGTTTAATAGGATCCTAATATCTCGATTTGTTGAGGCCTTCTTTTTTTCGGGGGAAATCCGTTATGGACACCCGAGCATCCTGTGAGGGGAACCCCGGGTTAAGTCGGACCCGTAGATTGGATGGGAAGAATCATTAATATTTAAAGGCCACGACGAGATTCGCGAGCATCTCCGCGGTCCTGCCTCCGAGTGGGATCCGTCCTCTCTCTCCCGCTCAGCAGCCTCCTTCTGGATCATAACGAATTTGTTGGGGCCTAGATTAGTAATAGAAATGCGTTATAAAGTCCTGTTCACTTATTATTATGCCAAAGTTAAGCGGATATATCAAGAATTTATAACGAATTTTCCGTTTCCCGATTGTTTCGACCTTTTTCGGATATAGAGTTAAATTAAGCAATAATTTAAGCCATTTTTGAAATAAACACAACCCGTGATAGATTAGTGTCGAGGCACTCGCTGTTTTTAATTCAAAATACTCTAGCAACCCGATTTCTAATCCCGGTGCCGGCATCAAAAAAAACTGTTAATTGCAATTTTTAAGTTTTGATTTATCACGCGCTTATGAAAGGAAACATCGTGAGGAATCCTGCATATTTTCGCAAGTAACAGCCAGCGTGGTGGACTATGTAGGTACTAATACCCTCTGTACTGTGGAGGTTCTTTACCCAGCAGTGGGATATATAAAGGCTGTGCTTTACTTTACTTACTACTACAATTAACAGAATGTTTGACTAAATTTGGTTAAATGGATTCCATAACAAGATCCTTCTTCAGTTGAAAAGATATACATATAAACTATATTCCACTTAGATTAATTGATAAATCTTTGTAAAAATATGTTTTTATAAGTAACAGTATATTTATGTGCATTCCTTTGGTACTTTATCAATAACATAATAATTTTTCTGAAAAATACTGCAATCAGTACCTAATGTTGACAACTCTAACGCCATAGCCTCTGGGCGAACTTCTGACTGAGCTATGTCTATATAATATGTATATTCAAATTGACCCTAAACTCACATGATTTGTTATCTGGTGTTGCAACCATCTTCAGGCAACGATATTCGATGGGTATCTTCGAGTCTGTGGACGGCGGTGGATGGCCCAAATTGTGAACCCATTCCGCTGATACCCAATTAGACGGATGACATTCTACGGTGGAGCCGAGCCATATAACCTCTTGCGGGTGGCAGCCTAAGCAGCGCTGGTAAAAACAGCTCTCAGGCGTGACTGAAACAAATAAATATTATAAAAATTGTTACGATATGGAATAAAAAACTTATTGAATAAAGTAATTATATGTGTGTGCATATAATGTAACATATTTTATTTAATTTAAAGTAATGGATTCTGAGCAAACTTTTTTGAGCAAACATTTGAAGTGAAGACTGTCATGGGCACTAAAGTCACCAAAGAAGTTGCAGATTTGTTGCCAACTAAAGACAGTATTTGTGTCTCCAGCTTCATTCCTCACGGAAAAAAACGCGAACAAGCAAATATGAACAATTAACGCTATTCTGCCGCTTATATAATTATAATATGCGTCGCCTAAAAATATGCATTGACGTATCGAGTAGTGTTCAATTTCGCGGTCATTTGGACGTGAAATCCAAGATATCTTCTAAAAAGCTCGGTGTCCTAAGTAGAGCGAGATAGTATTCTTTGGCAGTCCATCGCTTGCAGCTCCATAAAGCACAGATTCGGCCGCACATGGAATTCTGTGCTCATCTTTGAGTTGGGACATCTCAATACCTTCTAATAGCATCAAACGAGGAGATGGTCTAATTTTCGACAACCAGATCCTTTCCGATCGCCACGTACCTTTGGCCTTGCGAAGAGATGTTTCATTTTTTTAAATTTTTTGAGGTGGTCTGAGGAATTATTCGGATTAATACCTTCTGTTACATTTCACCATCATTTGAGTAGTTTCTGCTACTCAAAACGAGCCACGCCTCCTGCTTACTCTTTATGGACTGGCTAGCACAACCGGGGTATGCCCCACAGAACCATAAAGCGTGACAGAAGTAATTTAACTGGCGTAAATAAGAAATATGGTGATTGATGTAACTGGGTAGACTTCGGTTTACTGTTAAATTTTGCAATTTTATTCAGATAATAAGGTATCTTAACTTTCTTCTATTTAAGCAATTTTTATATTTACGTTCACTACTATGCAATTAAAAATCTTTGAAGGTACATGTCGGCAGATAGAGTATTAGTAGTAATGAATGTAATCATTACTGCACAGATGAAAAGTGTCCAGCATGAAAGCGGCGTATAAAATACATCACTGTTTTACTCGATATTGCTGGCCTCTAATATCCATCCACGGCGGCCTTTGCCTACAGTCGAGTGTTCGCGTAATGATCGCGGCGGCACGCAGCCTACGTTTGTTTTAACGGCCGCAATCATATGTCATTTTCTCGCGTTTTGCACCATTTTATCGGCCATCAGTCTCGATGTTCTGATACTCACGCACAGGCCGCGCAATTATTATATGCGAGGGAATGCGCTCCCGATGCGTCGGTACGCCGCTTTGTACGAATCTTCATTAAAGCTCATTACGCACTTTAAATAACCTTAATTAACGCCCTTAATTATGAAAAATTGCTATAAATAGTTGTGCGTACATTATTGTAGCCACGGGTTATGAAATGCAGTTAAAGTGAGCGCGTTTAACAATACGAATTAAAACATGCTTCATATTTTCAACCGACTACAAACAAGGAGGAATTTCTTAATTCGGTTGTATTTCTTTTGTTTGTTACCTCAAATCTCTGTAATTTATGAACTGAGTTAATAAATTTAATAATGTGATCCTATAATAATTTCATTGGTATTGGGCCTTTGTCCCGTACATAAGTTAGGAAACTCCTCCAAATCAAATAGAAAATGTATAGTAAGTATATATAATATATTTGAAGTTGGTTTTGCTTTTTGTGAGTAAAAATGTTATTTAAAATATTTGCATTTAATATGTTTCATAATGTAAAATTTACATTGTTCTTTTGAAATTCTGTTAGTTCAAGTTGTGACTAAGGTTAGGTATGCAAAAATAAATCTATAGCACTTTTTATGTACGCAAGGTAGATCTTTAATGAGGTCAACGGAACCTTTCTTATAGTCGATCATAATTTTTAGTGCTACAGTGATAGCTCAAACATTATGGAGTCGATACACCAACTTGAGATATGTAGGACTGCAAACTATAAAGGTGGTCCGTCGTTAATCCATGCGTAAGAAGATCGGCCGGACGCGGCGCGAGAAAGTCAATGATGGGCGGCCGACATAATTGTGCATGCCGCGGGCCGCGCTCGTCTCTAGTGTAACATTATATTTTATTATACATCTATGGACATTATAAACTGTTTCGATATACTACTTCGCGCCAATTCAATGTGTTGTTCATGATATGTTTTATCCTTCATGTTTATCAATACGGCACTGATTTAAACCGTTCTTGGGACAGATATGTTTTTTAAATGAAGAGAAGACTATGTAGAGAGTCTTTAATTTTCGTCATTTTTAATAAATGACTATTACATGACTATTATGACTATTACAATCTTGTGTAGTATTTTCTGCAAATTTATCTCTAATACTTTTTATTGTTTTTAGAATAAGCCTTTATCAAGTTCAATGAAACCTTATTTCTGTGATAAAGAGAAAACATAGTTTTAAAAATATGAACTTTCAATACATTTAAATGGAAGATTTATTAATGGGCAACTCAAAACTGGGAGGATGACATTAAGTCCGCCCGCTGTGACCTCTTTGTTGAGATGAACACAATAAAGAATAAATAAATAAGTAAACAGCCGTAGCTATAAAAAATAGAAAAGGTACCGACTGTCGTATATCAATATTATTAGGTAAACAGTACAATCACGTGCATATAATTAGAGTGATGAATTATGAAATTATTGTAGATGAGTTATTGCACGGTTACAATTTTCTCATTAAAAGGGGATTAAGTTGGCGGCATCGCTTTGCTCCAATGTAAGCATAGAGTTCGCTTTGAACTGTTATTTAAATATTTGTTTTTAAATAGATATTATCATTTATCGCGATCGCGATCACTGACCCGATTTGTCACAAGTGATGTGATGTACGAAAAGTGCGACCCACGTGCGGTGCCGTGGCGACATAACAGACCTTAGTATTACAACAATGTAACTACGATTGTCGACAGAGGATTAAATAAATATTTATTAACCGGTAGTTGCGCGACGAGATGAGTCGGGAAGCATTGTGCTTGGAGCGCGGGCGGCGGCCGGACCGCGTTCATTAAACGGACGTGATGTAACATTTTTGTTTTGTTTCAAACACAATCGCGCTGCGTTGAAGAGGAGTATTTCGTTGTTGTGTCCATTTCATAACCGTAAACCATTGTGAATCGTAGTTGTGGACGTTACCCGTGTGCTGAATATAAAACTCGCTTACCGTGTGATACCAATCCGGCAACGCACAATGCTAAATAAAGCATTTTATTTTAACAAACAACAATTAATCTAAAATAAACACTGAGCGACAGTGGCTAGAGCGCGTGCGCTCCGTTAGGGCGTCTCTTATCACACTAATCTGCACAGGACGGCTTTTATCTTTCACCTGCATGTCTCGTTATCGTGGGCCAGTAAATTATTTTGACGTTTGCTGTGGAAAATAAAGGCTATCGCTGGATAGGCCGGCCGTTAAAATCAGAATTTTCCGATTTCCATGCGAGCTTGTGTTGTTACGTACGAGTTGAGGACGAAAATAAATGACGATCCGCTCCGAATTTAGGCGGCGGTGGCCTTTATTACATTTGGTGTACGCATTAAATTCACGGAGGAGCGCAAAGAAAAATTATTAAATATGGGTCGAAAACGCGATGATTATAATACCACTGAGTATTGTTTTAATGATCCAACGGAGGTATTCAATCGATTGGCTGTCGTTGCAATTATCACGCTCGTGTTGAGTACTCGCTACACACGAGATGACTTCAGTGAATTCGTGTTTACATATTTGATATTTACCGATGTGATTAGGTAAATGACGTTTGTTGTACCGAACGGAAATTGGTATTGAACATATCGTTTGGCAAGTAAGCACGACGTTTACATAATCATTTGGAATCAAAATGGAACGTATGAGTTAAAAAAAAGTGCGTAAAAAATAGCGCAACGTTCAGCTTTTGTCACATTTGTCTTTAGGACAAATTATACAAAAAAGTCACATTTTGTCTTTTTACCTACGCTTCGAATTCATTTGCAGAAAAGTGTATAGTAGTGCTGGTTGTTTCTGCCCCCAAGCGATCGAATGTGTGAGAGTAAAGAATCCTTACTTCCTTACTAATACTATAAAGGCGAAAGTTTGTGTGTATGGATGGATGTTTGTTACTCTTTCACACAAAAACTACTGAATAGATTTTAATGAACTTTAACACAAATATAGCGTATACATCAGAATAACGCATAGGCTGTAAAATATAAGGATATTGTGTGAATTGTCCAAAATGCTGATAAGTAATGATAAGTGTCAACTAAGTAGGAAAAAATTCAGCCATCTGCCATCTGGTTTATAATAAAAAAATCATTGTTTTTCTCTATTCCCCTTGGCCGCCCTGGTGAAGCCGCGGAAAACAGCTAGTTCAGAATAAAAATGAAATGAACTAAGTAACTGTTGGTGTAATTACAAATCAGATCTCGGTATTAAGATATTACTTTATCTGCAACATAAAGAGACTACCTATAAGAAATAAAAATTATGTATATCCTCAAATATATGTTAATATTAACAAATTCAATACGTTGTAAGCTAATGAACTTTTGTTAAGCAATTTAATAATATTGTATCGGTCACTTAGTATAACGATGCGTGGGACTTTAAAGATGGCTGCTACCATAAGAAATACCCGTGGGCGGATATAAAAGATTACGTACTACACTTTTATAATTAAATTTGGTATGAATACGATCGTTAAGTTAAATGCGATTTTTTCGGCAATCTGGCCGCATTTAAATTATCAAAGGTGCCGACCTGGAATTGGAAGCTTGAGTAAGTTAAAGATAGAATCCTAGTAATGTTCAATAATATTGTTGGTTTTTCTTAGATCGATGAGGTTTTCGGTCAAACGTATAAGCAAAGGTTAACTAAGCAGCAGAACAAAAATGCACGTCCGAAACCATAAATTTCAACCTTCGAATTGTATATGGTATAACATTTTTATTATCAACAACAAAAATAAATTCATGTATGACTCAATATTCATTTTCTATTTGACGAATTCCCTGATGTATCTGTAGGAGCCTAAGGTCATATGTCAATGAAATTAATATGGGATCGCACGAGAGTTGAACAGAAACCAATGGAAATTTTTGAAAAAAGTAAAGTATCGGCCTGCACATGTCCCACTGTTGGGCAAAGGCCTCCTCTGTACAGAGGGTATCAGGCACGCGGCCCCACTGCGGTTTGGCGGACTTCGCATATCTTCGAAATATTTTTTTTTATTATTTCGAAAATATGCAGGTTTCCTCACGAAGTTCTCCTTCACCGTTGAGCACGTGATAATTCGGCACTTAAAATTACGTATTCAACTGCCAGCACCGGGGATCAAACTCAGGTTGCTCGAGTATATTGATACATTTAAATTGTACATTACATACCCTTTCCGTACTTACAGATTATCAATCACAAGCAAAAAAATAGGCAATAGTTTGATTTTCGTAAAATATTAATGCACAAATCCTCAATGAGGCATTTACAGTTTGACATTGATACTTGTCAACAAAAAAGGTGGGATTTAATAATAAAAACTAAAACAAGGACGCATCTGTGCGTTGCAAACCTAGTTGTTGAGACCACAGCTACAATAGGTATAGTTAAAGACCTACTCCATGTCAGTGTTGAGGATGGATGCCTTCAATTGATAACTGACATTCAGATCTTGAGATGGGTTGCTGCTAGCAATAACACTGTAGCTCATGAAACGAGAACTGCCTTATAAAGTATTTAGAACATCTTGACGCTCCTTTATCTTTAGGTTCGATGTAAAAGTCTGGTTAAAACGAAAAAAGGTTATACTTTTATAGTTAAGAGTAAGAAATGAAAATACAAGTAAGCGAAAGATTACTATTCGATAATAATACTATTCGATAATAGTAATGATAGCATTTTGCACATTATTGTAACTTTTAGAGTTTGACTCTTGACGACAGTAAAGTTTTAAGGTCAATAACAGTATGTTGGCTCCATGCTAACTGTACCGAAATGTACCTATTACTAAAACAGAAGCTGTTTCTCTAAGGTATTCCCTAAGTTGTGAACACAATCAATAAGTTGGCCATAGCCTGGGTTAACTATAGATACAAGAGCTCTCATATGTTGTGTGAAATAAGTATGAAGATATTTATTTAGTTTTATTAAACGGTTTTATTTAGCTCGACCCGTACGGAATTTGTTTGTTTGGGTCAAAATTAGAAATTGAAATTGACCTTGTCGTTGTCAGATCAGGCGCGAATGCCGAAGACGTGATCTGAAATTTGGTACACACATTTAATTTAGATGACAATACAATATTAACAAAAAAAAAACATTAAATAAAACCTTTTATTTTAACTTAAAGTTTTTAAACGGTTTTATTTACAAATTAAATTATAATATATTAATACATATAAATTAAATCTAAGAAATGATTATCCGTCATCCAGGGCCTGTCTTATTCTATTTATTAACGCGCGAACTTTATTGAAGAATAGCAGTAACAGTAATTCAACTGACAGGAAATTATCACTCCTTTTTAATAAATGTGGTTTGCAGCATTTGATTTTCTTCCTTTATAGGCTTCTTTTAGGTTAAGTACTTAGATATACAAGATCTTATAAGACAAATAAATAGTTTGAGTCTAAATTTATATAAAATATGTGGAATGAAACAGCTACAAGTATTTAGTCAAAATGGTCCAGGAGTCAAAATTGGAGCACCAAAGTTGCACCAACTCTGATATCCTTTAGTCTGTCTTTCAGACGTACATTTTAAAAACCGCTATAAACATTAATGCTTTAAACACTTAAATATGAAAGTAAACGAAAACTGAATACTTCAATAGCTAAAATTATGTTATTTACGTCACGTTCGTTGCTGAGTAGAAAATATGACGGAGATGATTTTACTTGGATACGTGAAGGAAATTAATTTTATTGTTATTTTTAGCATTCGTCGCCATGTCCGTCCTGGTTTTCTAATTTGAACATACTTTTACTAAGAGAACTACTCATAATTTATATTTATAGCACTCATTACATCATCAGGTATAGGTTTCAAAGTAGTAGTATTTTTGTCTTGTGGGTAAATTCGTAACATGCATCCCATTAAATCAGCTATTTAAATATATTTGCGTACAGCTCAGCATCGATCGCATGGGTCAATGCACCTGACTCGAAGCAAAACCAGGGCGATCCCGATCGAAGCGAACAAATATAACGCCATATAAGTTATTAGCCTTCAAGGTTTCCGAGACATGTCCTTCTTGTATTAAATGTAATTTGTTATTTGGTGTACATTAACACAGGAAATATGGAAAAACAATCATCATCCAATAGAGGACTAGCAAGTCCATCTTCAGTACAGCGTTGGTAGCGTTATCGTTGTAGGAATCTTCGAGCTTAAGTGTTTTCGAGTGTTGTAATTTAAGAGCGGCAAGGCTTTCACTCCCCAGGACCAATTAATTTTTGACCGCAACATTAAGCGATCGATAAATTTCTTAAAATACGCAGCGACCAGCGCCGATAAGAGGAACGAGTTCGGGACTTCTTCTGTGCATTAAAGAGGTTTTATTTATCTCGAACAATTTGTTATTGCCACATTTCATGCCTTCCGGTAGCCGTGTAATTGAATCTTCTGGTTTTCAAAGATTTATTACCGTAGTCTGATTGAGCTACCGCCCTTGATTAGTATAGCGGCATCTTTAATTCATATGTGTTTTTTTTGTTCTAAGACAATTTAATTAAAATCCTTTTACGCTCCGTTACTTTGATTCTCATTAATGTAGGCCACTGATTTATATACTACATTTAATACTTACCTTAAAAACTTTGACCTCGATGATAAGTTTAGACCAGTATTTAGTTATATTGCCAGTTTTTTTTCGTAATTTTTGAATATATCTCGCTTGTTCTTTTTACTGTCAGAACAGAGCACTCTACGGCTGTAAATTCTTGCGGCGAACAAAGGCGTGATAAAAGACCTCATGATTTTCTTATAAGGCATAGTCGAGTGATCTAAACTGCGCTCTCTACGTGACAGTTTTTCCTTTCGTTTTTATTAGACGATATAGTAGATTAGTGGGGGCGGGCAACAGGGGATGCCAAAATGTCCGACACAGTAACCCGGCGATACGATCGGGCAGAGGACGCGACGATTGCGTGAGATAGCCCCCGGCACGTCCGCGCTGCCCTCACGGGCCCGCGCCGTTATTTTAATTTATTTCTTCTTACAGCATCAGCA